TCGGGCACCTTTAGTGTGTTATAAGGAAGTACAGAAATCTTATACATTATAAATTATCATTAAACAGCAAATAACACCGGATGAATCTTTTTTGATCAAATGATCAATTCCAAAAGCAGCAACTAAACTGCTGAAATGAACCTGAATAACGATTAACACCTGTCAATAAAACCGCGCCAACGTCTGACTTGCATGAAGTGTCTCTTTTTTGTTTCTCGCATATCAGAACTGCTGATGCCCTTAGGCTGGGTATCCTAGTTTACCTGGGGCAGCTTTCGAATCGAAGTATATATCCTTCTCTTTCTAATACCTGTTTTCGGCGAGTTCGCGGTCGACAGGGACGTGACCGAGCGATCTCTTCGACAACGTTGCCACCGAAGAGGTATGTAAAAGGACAGTTGTAATTTCTGAAGAAATATCATAAACAGTACACCTAGTTCAAATCCCTAATACTTCAAATTTATAAATAATGATACAATATGTTCCCACTCGTTATAATTCCAAATATACTGAAGTAAACTCTCAAAATCAATTGAAAATTGGGATGAAAATGTGGAAAAATCAAATATACAGGTCACGACCATTTTCCGCATATTTACGTGTATACGTTCTCATCAACACTCTGCATTAGATTTAGTTACATAATGCACACCTTAGATACATCACATAATAAAATGTCAAACTCCAGACCTGCATATTACCTTTGTGTATGTTATAGATTGTTACGTTGATTTCACGTTGATCTGTACATCAGCAGGTGGTCATGAATCGCTAAAAAAAATACCAAAAAATGTAAATAGGATGCATAAGATTAATTTTGCCTTTGATCTATATTATTTATTATTTTTTTCTAACAAATGTTAAAATTAATTCAGAATATAACTTATAAGGCCTTGTACTTAATAAGATATATAAAGAAAAAAGCATTTATCATTAAAATGAATTGAATAATAATAATAATAATCATAATAATAATAATGTTTATTTGTAAAATACAATTAGTGGTCGCCATATTGTATTGAACATCGGTTAATTTATACATGGCAAGTTACCTTACATAATAAAGCCCGTGGGTTATCAAGTGGGACTTAACGCCCGAAAAAAGTATTCATAAAGTATATTTTTCTCCCGACGATAAATAAACGACATTTGTGAAACGATTCCAATGATACTTCACGAAAGTCTCAGCCTCAAGAAGAAATTCCAATTTGGCAACACTGCGCCAGCACGAATACCAATCACTGAGTTGTATAAATCGTACAAGCATATTTCCTTGAGGCCAACTTGATTCACCGTCCCGAGTTTGTCAGTTGTTTTTGTTGTTTGCCGACGACCAACATTAGGTGGTGATTGGTTCTGAATTGCTCAAATATACGGAGGGTAACCAAAATCTACATGAAGATTAACAATAATATTCAGCACTGTACAGTCGGGAACAAAAATAATGGCTTGACGTTTTTCTATTTTTAGGAAAGTTGAAGCAAGGTTTCCTAACAAACAAGTTTTACTAACCGAGCCATTAGCACTCCCAAAGGGGGTAAACCGGGTAATTAACCCCCCTCCAGATGATCAAAAAAAATAATTGCGCCCAATAATTTTCAATAACAATAATGCTCAATTTTATTTACGAAAACACGTTGGTTCATACCTCTTCTCATTTCATTATACCCATTTCCCCATTTCCTCCCAGAACATCCTGTATTCAGTCTATACTAATACTGTTTATTGGAATCCCACATATTCTCTTATGCACAGAAGCTGCAACTAGTTTCCAGAAATTATTGAATACTGGCAACTAAAAAAACACTTTATCGGTTTTGCGATAGTAGTAGCCTAGTATAAAAGTCATATAAAAATCCTAAAAGATTATTTCCAAGGTGATTCTGCTACTGAATCCATTCTCAAAAATTAGAATGATTTTTTGTTCTTGTCATGGTAGCGAATTGGATCCAAGATTTCATCAGAATCTAACGTCATTCCTGTGTGGCCAATTGTAACCGAATTGGCAACTGGTCTGATTACAAACGATGATAGACAAACCAACAAAAATGAGTCAGTAATTTCCGCAGATATTATGAGCATCCAGAAGACTATGCTTACTCGAATTTATTTACTTCCTTCGTCATTAACGTAAGTAAAATAAAGTAAAAGTGAACTACTCTCCTCCGTAAAATATAAAATACACTCTTAGGTGAAGTGACGTATGGTCCAATATGAAATCAATAGTTCACACTAATTGAAGTTCAAAATAAATTATATACTATACTAGCTTTCCACGTGTTTACCCACAGAATGTGTAAAGTAACCAAATTTCCCAAGCATGCAAGTTTTGGCTATCAATTTACTAACTCCATGAAAGATACAAAACTTGATCAGCATTACTTAAAAACAATACGTTATGTTTGTAGCAGTTTCAAGTGTAAGATATTGTTTGTAACAGCAGATGCCAAATAAAAAGTCTGTGTTGCTCACAGTTTAAGTAGGGCAACGGCAGGCCGCGCTGTTGCCGGCTTATCGCTGACGGTGGAGATTTTGGGACCTTTGAATATTGTGAAATGTCATTGCAAAATCGACGATGGGGTCGTGGACAAACCGTACCTATAACTTCTCTCGGGTATCAGTAAGTTAGTAAGTACAAATCTTACGTCTCTCCGTATTGTGATTCAGACGTGATCCTGACAGACTGATCAGACATTCACATTTACTATAACATACTCAAAATTCTTATTTTCGAATCTCATATGAGATACCTGAAATCTATTAATTTATCATATAATATTGTAGTTATTGTACTTATGCTCCTATATAATCAAATATTTCAAACCAAATTGTGATGTCTTGTCTTCCTATTATAAATGATTCAGTGTGGAAACACTGAGTCGACAAAGTAGCGTAGAAACTGCATTTCAGTCCAGGAATTCAATCTCACAAAACTATTCGACAATTATGAGGATAATAGCCATCAATTACCAGTTTTTCTTGGTAATTCGTAGTGACTTAAACGTTATTTATAATGCTAACCAGACATACCTATTTGAATAGTCATCGCGCAAAGTGAAAGACAGTAGTTTTTTACTATGGTTATAAATAATACGGAAAAGAACCGAGCACGTATAGAATATTTGCAAGTACCATTGATTATTGTTTACCACTGCACTTGATACAAACAAATCTAAAAAATGACTGAATGAGATGTTTTATTAAAGCACAGATACTGATATGAATTTTCTGATTCCAGAATATGTCCTGAAAGGACCACTAAGTCCTTGTCATGGTTTGATAGTGGCAAATTTCCCATGGGACCTTAGCCTCCCAAAGCTGGGGAAAATATTTCTATGGTTATAGCGCCCACTCATGAAAACCACAAAGTGTACATAAAGCAAATCCAAGCGAATAACCAAAATTTCTGTGTTATTTACCGCAGTTATAATACGGTTTAAGATGACACACGGGTTGATGACGTCAGTTACTCGAATCGCTTGAACGCCTTTGTTTTAACAGCGGTTTTGTTGCAGGTCGTTTATTTTAGAAAAGCGCGTATGTAATTTCTGTTTATTTTTATGATCACTTAATGCTTTGTCGTCTACAATAGTGTATGGAAAGTTTAAAAAAGAAACCTTTCATAATATTAATGGGAGAAATGTTTTTTTTTTTCGGAAAATAATTTTTAATGATGGAACCGTGGCTTTGTAGCTATGATAACTTTCAATTTTCCAGAAACTAGATTCAAAGTGCCCCCAACAACAGTAATGAGTATAACTAATAAGGTGCTCTACTTTATGCTACAACTGAAGCCAGCTTGTATTAACATTCCCAAAAATGAAGCTGAAGTACAACAAAAATACCCAATACCCGGCAAAATTCTAAATTGTCACATTTCAAATGATAACCAGAAATATAAAACTACTCCTGAGTTGGGTAAATACCACAATTTGGCGGTGATAACTATGACAAATAACAGGTGATTCATGACCTCACGGATCTTATAACCAAACTGATAACCACACTCGCTTGAACGAATCGGTAAATACCAATCCAAAATGGTAAATACCATTTTCATTTGGTTATTCGCTTGAATTTGATTTATTAGTATTATGTTAGGTCTTTCGACAATACAACCTTATATGAAGCAAAAACTCCAGAGTGAAAACTTCTCACCGTATAATCCTGCCACTGGTGAGAAAGTATTGTAATTACGAAAATCTTCGAAAATGAGACATTATGTTTTTTGGATGTAATATGACATGTTTATCAAGGAAAATTGTGTCACTCATTTCTTTCAGTCTGTTGGTAAATAAAAAAATGTAGAATTACGTGATCCCAGCAGATTTACCCACCTGTTAGACATAATATCACGCATATTTCGCATGATATTTACGTATGTGGCTAGCAACATCATCTGTCCAGAAACACGCGATTTCCTTCACCTGTGGAGGGTCTGATCCGAATCCAGCAACGCTGATGCTGGCGCAGGCCGTAATGCCATTGAGCTTATCGACGACGCGCGACAATCTAACGGTACCAGCGCGTGCGAAAGTTAGATATATCAATTCAGTGATATTCCTTCTATAGCATCACCAGCAGTAAGGGTTTTGATGACCAGCCAAAAGTGAAAATGACAGAATATATGAAAATTGACTCGCATACTACTACTATGGTGCATATTCATTCATGTCCATAATTTCAATTTTTTAATCACTGATATTCTCACGAAAGGGTACAAGGATTGTCATAGCCGTCGAACAATAAAGACAGCAGAACGTGCAAAACTTGACTTAGATATATATATATATATATATATATATATATATATATATATATATATATATATGTATACATGCTGCATATTCAAAGTACATTTGTCCAGAATTGTGTGGGAAGTACAGAGTCAATCTACTTGACTCCATTGTTTCGTTCTAAAAAAAAATATCTATGAACAGTGTGAACTGTTATTTCAAGGTCACGCACTATCAGTTTTCCTATGCATTTTGCCTTACTAGGGTCATTCAAATGGATAGTGTGCAACGGGTATAGACAGTGTCAAATAATACAAATCTCTACTCAACATTTGTGGAATTTATAACTGTGTAAGTGCGTGTGTTAGTATGTTTAAGAAATATTTTTCATTGGTCGATGATTCACCAGAATTAGAACTGGAATTTGCGGCCAACTTATTTTACCAACGTACATTTTTCGGCGGCGCGTAAAATCCTGATGTTATTAACGGTTGGACGAAAAGATGGAAATTCCTTTTATACTGTAAGTATCCGCTATGGAAAATCAGTAACCCATCTAGTTTTTGTGAACCTAGGAAGTTGAGCAAATTGTCAGCCTGCTTCTGTTCTCAAGCATCCTTAAAATCACCTAAGCTGTTTCCTAATATCTTCCAGATCTTAATGGGTTGATGAGTGAAACATAAAATTAGAGGCGTACCGGCCACCAAAAGGGGTCAGCGCATAGGCCTCTTAGACGAGCCCTTATGCACCTCTACATTCGTTAAACCTCAAGCCTCGCCATTCTAGTGAAGTTCCTTAACGTCTTGGGGGTCCAAAGTAGCAGCTCTCACACAAGCGATCCTCAACCACCCCCATTTCGTGCAGGTGGCACCTTAACGTGTTATGGCCAGACAACAGTCCCACCTGCAACCTTAGTTTCGCTCTATCCAAAGATAAGCAGAACCGTCCATGCTTAGCGCTGGGCCCTACAATGAGTTCCCGTGCCTGACGTGTCTGGAGATGCTTCTCCATTTCTAAGAGTGTTGTCTTGCAATCCGTTTCTCCATTTTCCTCCTAACTCGTTGCGCGGGCACCCCTTAGGCTGGCTCAGGACCAACGAGCTTGCTGGCTGATCCTGTCTTCGCCAGAGCGTTCGCCGTCTCATTACCCTTTATCCCAGCATCCCCCGGTAGCATTTTAACACTATGGTATAGGATTCGGCACCAGCCTTAATTTTATTGGTCAATTTCAATTTATTCAACCAATAACAAGCCGGGTGCCGAAATCACTACCGGAATGTTAAACAGTGCTGAGCATGGGGTCAGAATGTTATCAATTTAAATTTCCGCTAAAAATACGTAAGATAATAATCAACGCACGTTGTTTCCTATTACGATATTTAATGATTTTAAAATTAATAATCTGGTTTAGCAATAAGAAAAATTACATGAAAAATTTATATATATTTATATAGGTGAAAAATTGAAGCTTCCGCCTTTTGTTGGGTACTTCGACAAAATTTAAGCAAGGAGGACTCTTTATACTTTTTTTATTCTCTCTAGCTTTCAATGGTCTTTGCCATCATCATCAGGAGAGTAGTGTGTGAGGATGTTGCTAACTGTTGTTTACCTTAAGGATGAGGGAAACACCCAGTCACATGGTGAAAGCTGGATAAATGGTACAATGATCAAAATTGTATAAAATACACACAGCTGTATGACAAGAACAAGTTAAAAACAGATAAATTTTTTTTTAGAAATTGAAAGTTAAACATTACATCGTGAAGCCACTTGGTGATTGCACAAAATGGTGGGCATGTGCAATCATCAAGTGGCTTCACGATGTAATGTTTAACTTTCAATTTCTAAAAAAATTTTTAATCTGTTTTTAACTTGTTCTTGTCATACAGCTGTGTGTATTTTATATAATTTTGGCCATTGTACCATTTATCCAGCTTTCACCATGTTACTGGGTGTTTCCCTCATCTTTAACGTAAACAACAATTAACAACATCCTCACATACTACTCTCCTGATGATGATAGCAAAGACCATTGAAAGCTAGAGAGAATAAAAAAAGTATCAAGAGTCCTCCTTGCTTAAATTTTGTCGAAGTACCCAACAAAAGGCGGAAGCTTTAATTTTTCACCTAACTGATCTAGACGACAATTACCACGTCTCAAGTTATATTTATATATATATATATATATTAGTAGAAGCAGTTTATTGATAACATTCTGACACTGTTTTCAGCACTGTTTAACATTCCGATAGTGATTTCGGCACCCAGCTTGTTATTGGTTAAATAAATTGAAATTGACCAATAAAATTAAGGCTGGTGCCGAATCCTATACCATAGTGTTAAAATGCCCCTCGGTACCCACACTAACGATAACGGATGCCTCGCTGCTAGACAATCGAGAGCCTCCCTGCATTGAAATACAAGGCTCGAAGTAATTTTACAGACACTTACTGCTTTCATTCCAGCCTGGCTGTCAGAGAAGATTGTTATTCGTCTCCTAGGCCAACCCCCCTCCAAAATGAGGGATACACAAGCCAAAATCGTAAAGATTTCCGCCTGAAAATCTTATGGCTTGCGATCTTTCCGAGTCAATGGTTGGTTGAATTCAAAGAAAATTGAATATGGTCATACAGTTGGTGGTACGTGGTACCTCTAATTCAAAGTTATGCGACTTTGATTTAGATTTATCTGTTTTACATTCAAAGGATACACAAGGTCGTGTCCTACGTAACTACTTATCAATTTGCTCTAAATTACAAGATACAAATAAATCTGACATCGGCCTCGCAGGTATGGCAAACAGTTGAGTTTTCCGTTTCTTTTTTAGGAAGGAGGGATAACCAGTGGAACTTAACTTTTTTTGACAGGTTGACCTTTGAAATACGAAGGGCTTTCGCGGCAATAATCCAATGTTATTTGGTTGATTTTTAGGTTGTTAGGCCGTCCCAGAACATCTACTTGACATTTCGCCGACACGAGTGGTTGGCATCTTTGACGATGTTCACAGTGAGCTGCTAAGTAGCTCACAGGACTCCAAACTGTGAACACCTTCTTAAGATGCCAACCACTCGTTTTAGCGAAACGTCAAGTAAAAATGTTCTAGGATGGCCTAACAAGCCAAAAAACAAGCAAATAATATAGGTTGTCCTTTTATTGAACCTCAAGGTTAGGGTCAAGGTCATACGAAAAATGATACACTAAGAGTTTTTTAGTATTCTTTGGAACTATGGAATTACCCCTAAAATCAGAAAAAAGGATCAGAGCCCTTCTTAATATAGCCCTGACCATAGCCTACCTATCCAACAATCAATGGTCTTATTCCCCTTGTCTGCTAATGTGTCATTAGTATCTGTTTCTGTTCTTGATCCCACTGGACGGCGAATCCTCTCATCTGTTGATAAAAATTCACCAGAAAACATCGATGGTCTTTACGGAATGAGCCCTTGATGCTACTGCTCAATACATGCGGAAATGCAAGCCAAGTAGCACGATCGTGAGCTGCAGTACTCATTACAGTGAACAAAAATACAGGACCGTGCTGTAAGAACGTCTACAGCGCTATAGCTAATTGCAGAGGAAGCAAAGGAGGCACTTGCTACTACAGTTTGTCAGTAGCGTAGCAATATAAGTAGTGAAGTACAAGATAATCTATACATTGTATCTGGAATACAAAATACAGTAAAATAATGTTAAAAGTAGCATTTCAGAGAGCAACTACAAAATAATTTCTGGAATGGTATATGAAATACTAGAAGGTAGAAGTAGTGTATGGCGTTCCGCAAGGGTCGATATTAGGACTGCTCCTCTTTTTACTGTTCATCAATGATTTGCCTAAATGTATGCCTTCTACGCATGTTACTATGTTTGCAGGTGACACTACTGTCCGCTACAACTATCGATGAGGTTCACTCAAAAATAGTGGCCGCGATGGATCAGTTTTTATCGTGGTGTTCATGCAACAGATTGCTTAAGAACGAAACTATAACTCTCATTGCTAATTTTACCATTTGTAGACATATCCCAGATGACAGCATATTACTGAGTATCTATGAGATATCGCAGCATTGCAAGCTATTGGGAACATTAGCCTATTACGCCTTGTTGCAGCTTAAAGACATACTTAAGGACAAGAGCTTGCACGATGTCTACTTTGTGCTTGCACATAGTCACCTGTCATATACTGTCATGACATGAGGTAATTCCTTCGAAAGTGATAGAGCATTTATTGCTCAGAAACGATTGTTGAGCCTTATGTTTAATATAAAGCCTGCCGAAACGTGCATAGAGGTGTTTAAGCAGAGCAACATTCTCACACTTTCCTCTTCAGATATGTTACTTTTTTAAGAGGAAATGATAATCTTTTTCCTGACCTGTCACAAAGTCACCAATATAACACCCGAAATTTCAACATTAAACTCAATCAGGGGCATTCGACCGTATACTTCAAAAAGTCTCATTTCTATAATTGTTTCATCTCATTTAACAGTTTATCTTAGAGCACTCAAAAGCAACAACAATTTAAAGGGAAAGCTACAAGCTTCCTCAAGAGACACACATTTTATAGCATTAATGAATTTTTAAATATGAAGCCATAATTCTTTTAATCATCTATTTTATTGTATTATTTTATGATATTTGTATTTATGTATTTTACACTGCCTACATTGCATTTGTACCTATAGCTGACATGCCACATTTATCTTGAGTGGTCAATAAATCTCTTATCTGAAATAAAAAGTATCTAATATCTAGACTCAAAATTCGTATCTTTCAAATATTTTTTTAAGAAAACAACATTTTATTGAGTTTAAATTTATTTATTACATGAATTATATGCATTGATCGCGCAAATCTGACAACATTTACTTTTCAGGTCTTAATTGAGACTTGGGTAAAACAAGTTCTTCAAACATTTTTCTTCGTCACCATACTCCCAAAGTGGTCAATAAATTTAACATCTAAAATAAAATACTATATATCCAATATCTAGATACAAAATACGTATCTTTCATATTCTTTTAAGATATTTTTTTAAGAAAACAACATTCTATTGAGTTTAAATTTATTTATTACATGAATTATATATGCATTGGTCGCGCAAAGGTGAAAAAATTTACTTTTAAGGTTTTCATTGGGTAAAATAAGTTCTTCACACACTTTATCATTCATTTTTTTTTCGATGAGACATCGTCACCATACTCCTAAAAGAAAAGAATTGCTACACAAGGACAAAACTTTCTAAACATGTGTTGTATTTGAAAAATATTATTTTATTGTAGGATAAACATGTAAGCTCTTCCAGCTGGTATCTTTATTTTTGGGGTTTCTTAGCTGTGCTACCAGTAGACCATG